TGAGAGATAAAAAATAATTCAATATATAGAAAAATCGGTATTTTATTACTTCAATGCAGACTATTAGTTATTGTAATTATCTCATACTCCAATTAATTTGTAATTAATTAGATAATTAATTAATTTGCTCATAATTAAATTATTCAGAAAGTTAATTATTAATTAATTATTTATTAATTATTAATTAATTGTTTATTAATTATTAATTGTTGATTAATTGTTAATTAAGTGTTATTTAATTATTAATTAATTGTTAACTAATTATTAATTAGTTTATTGATTTGCAATTACATACTCCAATTAATTTGGAAAGTTTTTTGAAGAAAAAAAATTTAAAAAAATTTGATGTCAATTTTTTTTAAAAAATTAACCTAACAGGTTTTTCTGAAAAACTACAGATATATAAAATTTTCGAAATCAATTTTGACAATAAATATTCATTATATAGTACGTAAAAGTACCACAAAATTAATTGGAGTATGAGACAATTACAATAACTAATAGTCTGCATTGAAGTAATAAAATGCCGATTTTTCTATATATTGAATTATTTTTTATCTCTCACAGGACCTTCTATGGGCCGAAATGAATGTTGCCCCCTAAAATTATTCCTCATAAGGCATACATCCCACTAGTTTATTTCAAAATTGGCGAGTCACACTTCCCTAGTTTCCCTTGTTAGACCATTTCGTTAAGTTTTCATTTCACGCTTTTTGAAACCCCTTAGACTTTCGACCGACCGAGGGCCTGTGGCGCAACGGATAACGCGCCTGACTACGGATCAGGAGATTCCAGGTTCGAATCCTGGCAGGCTCGTTAAGTATTTTTTTTTAGAGAACTAAAGATAAAGAGATAAAGCTCGTAATAGATTTTCATTCGTACGTTCTAATGGTGACAATCATTTTTAATATTTTTTCACCAAAAGAAAACTTAAATAAATAATCTTTTTTTTTAATAGAATTATTTTCTTTACCGTTTTCAGAAGAAAACTAGGTAAACAAAGTATTTATTTTTTAGAAGGCAACAAAAACAACTCGTGTTTTTAAATAAGAAAGAAACTAGTGCCATTTTTGTTTTACGTGGACATATTATCGACACTTCAAGAATTTTTTTTTTTTAAAACAAAATAATTTTATCTTTATGTATAAAAATAAATAAATAAAAGTATTAATTTAATTTCGAAAAATGCTTATTAACAAAAATAAATAAATAAAATCTAGAGATATATTCTGGCTCACTCAATTTTTTTTTAATTGAAAGGAAAAAAAATTATCAAGAATATGCTGAAATTAAAATTATTTATTACTGATCAATCAATCATCATTACTAAAAACAAATTTTTCTAAGTTTAAATCAATAAAAAAAAAACTTGCAAATTTTAAAAACAAATTATTTTATCCTTATGTGTAATAATAAATAAATAAAAGTATTAATTTAATTTCGAAAAATGCTTATTAATGACAATAAATAAACAAAAACTAGAGATATATTGTGAAATGTCATTTAATTTTTTTTAATCAAACGGAAAAAAAATTATCAAGAACATGCAGAGATTAAAATTATTTATTACTGATCAATCATCATTACTAAAAACAAATTTTTCTAAGTTTAAATCAATAAATAAAAAATATGCAAATTTTGAAACAAAATTATTTTATCTTTATGTACAAAAATAAATAAATAAAAGTATTAATTTAATTTCGAAAAATGCTTAGTAATAAAAATAAATAAATAAAATCTAGAGATATATTCTGAAATCTCACTCAATTTTTCTTTTAATTAAAAAGAAAAAAAAAATATCAAGAACATGCAGATAATTAAAATTATTTATTACTGATCAATCATCATTACTAAAAACAAATTTTTCTAAGTTTATATCAATAAATAAAAGAATTGCCATTGTTAAAATATCTAAACTCAAAGTAATTTTTTTTTATTTAAAATTATCATATATAAGAATATAACTCAGTTTAAAACATTCGTAAATTGCGTAAAAATAATCAAATTTCAATGGCAGAGCAGAGTGGCGCAGTGGAAGCGTGCTGGGCCCATAACCCAGAGGTCCGTGGATCGAAACCACGCTCTGCTAAATATTTTTCGTTTGTCTTTAACAAAACTCGTTTTAAGAGAATACTTTTGAAAGTAAAATGTAAATAAAACTTTGTTAAACTGCATATATTCTAAATTATTTTTTTTATGAATTCAAAAACATGTTTTTATACCACAAATAAATTTTGATTGAGGTGATTTGCTTAAAATTCTTCTCGGAAATTTGTTTTTTTAAATGCAGTGACTTATTTGTATGTTACTTTAACTTACTCATTTGTTAATTTATTTAGAATTGTTGTATTAAATATTTAAAAAAATCTACTTTTCTAAGGGTGTAAGGAAAAAAAAAATAGATTTGGTCCATCAAATAATAATCAAGAAACTTAACCCACAATTAAGAGTAAATCATTTCAAATTAAATAGAATTATTTAAAAAAATAATAAAATAACAGGAAGTGAAATATCTGATACAAGAATATTTTCTCCATGGTTATATTGTTTTCTTCTTTTTAAGTATAAAATATTAAAACAATTTATTCTTAACTGACTCGTCTAGTTTAAGAAAGGTTTTGTTAAGTATAGTGTTCCACTCTCTCAACAGCAGAGTGGCGCAGTGGAAGCGTGCTGGGCCCATAACCCAGAGGTCCGTGGATCGAAACCACGCTCTGCTAAACATTTTACTACTGTTCTTACCTACTATGAAATTACGTGTAATTTTTCAAAACAGCAAGCATTTTTAACCTTTTAAGGACTCAAATACTATGACCCAATATTTTAAATTAATATTTTCTCGAATGTTATCTTTTTAAAAATGTTAAACATTGGATTAATATATTTTTTTAATTGTTCCATTTAATATTTCAGTAGAAAAATTTTACTAAAGAAATAAATATTTTTTTCCCTGTGTGATTAAGAAATCATAAAAAAATTTTATAGGAGAAAAAAAAGAAAATTATGAGAAAAATAATAAACAATTTTGAATAATGACTTTCTTTTTGGATAAGATAAAAATTCTTACAAATGAGCGATTCATATGAATTGTATTATATAATTTATTTATTAAAGATTTTGTTTTTAAATAATTTTTTCTTTTCTTTTTTCTTGGCACAACCAGACCAGATACAAATTATCGAAATTATAATTAGTTAAACAATTATTTAAAAATAAATAAATATAAACTATAAAAATATAACTTCAAATATTATCAAAATTAGTTATCTAAATAATATTCCACTCGTTTTAAGATATATACTGAAAGAAAATCATTTGCTTGCTGTGAAAACAGTCCTGTTTCAGGTAAGAAGAAATCTCTTAGAATTCGAAATGAGATGAACCACGGGAAAAAAATCGTCATTAATAATAATCAAAACAATATTCCATTCGTTTTAAGATGAATACTAGAGTGTATCAAGGAAGAAAAAAAAGTCGATATTAGTAATCAAAGCAATATTCCATTCGTTTTAAGATGAATACTAGTGTGTGTCATGGGAAAAAAAAATCGGTATTTAGAAATAGAAAAATAGAAATAGAAAAATAATATCGGGGAAGTAGAAAAAAAAATTCGATATTAGTAATCGAATCGAAACATTATTCCACTCGTTTTAAGATGAATACTAGAAAGTATCACGGGGTCACTAACTCAAAAAGCTCAGTTTGTTTCAGTTCTTCGCATTGATTACCAGAAAAAAAGTCATCAGTTTTGTAACTTTGTATAGTAAATTCATAATCAAAACAGACTTGTGTGAATAAAATATTGTGTGACATACACGTGCATTCTAATTACTAAAGTTAAAATTTCATTAATAGGCCTAAGATAAAATGGAACTTTAAAGGTAATGAAAAGGAAAAAAAAATGGCTACTCGCTTTGAGGCTGGAATTGGGAAATGGTCCTTCGTAATTGTAAAGTCTTCTCCATTCTTCGTTGACCCTATTGAATCTCTTAAAATTAGGGGTGACTGCGAGATAACTAGTAATATTCAAGACTCGAAATTCTGCTTCATGTGATATCCAGAAATCTTCCAGCGTCTACAAAAAGAAGCAGAAAATTAGTTTTATAGAAACTAATTTCTACTAAATCTGTGAAAATAAGTTCGTAAAACATCACTAATTACTTATAGTACTCCATGTATCCTAAATTATTTCTAATCAGTACACATTGTATTAATCCTGAATAAAGAAAATAAGCAATTAATAATTAATAACAAGCTAGAGATTTCAGAATAGACGGTGCCTTAGTTTTACTCATTTGTTATACATGTACAGAGATTAGTTTCGAGTGTTTAAGTAATGCATTTAAAAACGGCAAACTTCACTGAAGAGGAGGCTGCCAATTTTTGAGATATTATTTAAAATTACGTACTTCAGTCCAACTCCAAATAACCTTAAAAGGACGCTATATCGTGTTAGAAACTTTTCATTGCAAAATTATCGTTCATCACCGTAAGTAATTTGAAGTTGAAGCATAGAATGAGTTATTTTAGGCAAACCTAGAGTAACTCATGAAGTTTCAAATACTGAAAAGATATTTTAACAATATTAAAAGGAAAAAAAATTATGACAGAATAACTTTATGCAATGTGGAAGTTCTCTCTCAATAAATTGTTTGCATTTTGTTATTAGTAGTACATGTGTCAGTCTGTATCAAAGTTCACGTGGTGAAAAGTGATACAGATCCTGACGCATGACTATATGCAACGCATGCTCGCATGGTTCAATCAGCTTGTAGGCGATGATGGATCGATAGTGATTGGTTGGAGTTGAAGCGATCCATTTAATAAATATTTGATTCTGCCAATAAATATCTGATGCTGTCTGATCCGTGTCACGCTCTTTCGAGCCGTGGTGGCTCAAGAGTTAGAGCGTTCGCCTTTCAATGGGATGAATCGGGTTCGAATCCCAGCGATGCTGGTTGACATGAATTCCGCAACTGACTCGCGTGAACCACAATGCTGACGTAAAATATCCTCAGTGGTAGACGGTTTATGGGTAAGAGTCCCCTAGCCGTCAGGCTAACAGTGTTAGGTTTTCATGGCTTTTCCCTCCATGTAACGCAAATGCGGGTAAGTTTCAACAAAAAGTTCTCCACAAAGGCAAATTTCTCCCAATATTTGATTCAAAGCTTTTTTTATTATACAGAAAGTAAATAGTTCAAAAATTATTGTATTTGCGAATGCTTTAGCTGAGCAGGTGGTGCTAGTCGAATTATCGAACTTGTTACATTGTATAGTGTGTGTGCATGTTTTCAGCTGAATGCTTCGTTGATCTCCATATGCGGTTCTTTCCTGTATATTGCTAATTGTAGTGAAAAGGGAGCAACTGAAAAGAGATATCGGAAGTAAACCTCTCGCTTTAGCTGTTGTTATGGAAATGAAAGGCTCATTGCGAGATAAACGTTTCGAATCGCTACGCATCTGCTTATTCACGTATACAGAATATTCATGATTTATTATGAATTAACTTAATTTAAAAGTGAAACAGCTGGACACTGGGACAACTTTACAATTATGAATATGACAACCGTTAATTTCCTAGAAGGGGGAGATGGTTCTGAAATGCTGATAATTCAGGTGATGCATAAATTTTCAACATGCATGACCTTCTTGAACACTGATATTTTTTACCGATATTGATATTTTTTGATGTTTGATATCTAGCGCACCACTGCATACGATTCTCGATTTAACCTGTTTGCTAACAGATATAATATTTTCCCAAAGCCTTTATGCGTATATATGCGTAATAACAACGTGATTTATAAAATCCAATTCAGTAATATTCACCTCTAAAAATAATAAACACTAAACAGCAAAAACTAATAAACAAAAACACTATCTAAAGTCTTTTATACTATGCACTCGAGCTGTATCGTGCCAATTCTAAAGCAAAACCGAAAAAAGCTGATTAAAAGCAAAAAACGATAATTATACATATGGCATAAAGGGGTTACCAGCAAAGAAATAAAAAATCCAGATTTTTTTTTGCAAGCAAACAACGTATTTTATGGCGAGAACCAGAAAATAGTGTAAGCTTGTAGAAGTTTTACAATTAATTGAAAATTTTCATTTCCTTCGCTAGATTTCACTCATAATTATGAAAACTAATATAAATTTAACTCGATCTAGCTTCCTTTCATTTTATACATTGCATACAAATTTTGAATGTATTTTCTTTACTCATCTTTATGATGAAGATCTTCTTAAACAATTTGCAATACAATCCCTAAGTTTTTAGCGCCTCCATTTATTCTGATTTTAAATTTTTGATATTTCTTAAGTTTCTTTTTTTTAAAGTTTCATAAGTTTTTTCAAAGTCCATTCATTTTGATATAGTTTTCTAAACTCTACGTCATTGATTTCTAAGAAATAGGAAAATGCGAGTGTTTAAAACTTGACAAATAAGAATCTTACCGGTTGGACAAGAAGGAAATGAAATTTGTCTTTCCGCACTCCATGGTCATGCACAAATCTCAGAAGAATGTCAGTTGCCAGTGCTGGGTCCATGTCAAGTATGACAGGTATGATGTTTTGTTTGGATGAAGTATCTAACTTTGTAAGGTATTGCACAACGTCTATATCAGATGAAGCTTTTAAGAATCCAAACAAATGTAGCTTTAATACTGAGTATGCGACGCGAAACATGATCTGAAGTTTTTCTGGACCTACAAATATATTGTAACAAGTAATATAATTTTTTTTTAAAAAGTCAATTCCTACTGAGATAAAAAAAGAAAATTTTTATTTTAGTTACTTTTAATTAAATAATTACATTTTTTTCTCCCACATAAAACTAAATATAATTAATTAAATTTAATTAATTAAATTTAATTAATGAATTAATATTTGAGAAAACTGTATTAACATCAAGCGTCCTTCACTACAAGAATAAGAAAATGTATTTGATCTTGAATGGATGAATAAAAAGTATTCTATTAACGATTGTAACTATGAACAAAATAAATAAATTTATATATCTTGTTCAAAATCGTCGTCATAAATTTAAACAAAAAGGAAAACGACTTCTGAAGTTCAAACAATTAATACTTAGAAAAAGCTAATTAATAAGAAATGAAAACGCTCAAATCAGAAAAACATTAGTTTAAAAAAAAATAAAAAAATCATTTGAAAGTAAAACTTCTCACAATCATCGTCGTAAATGTAAACAGCATTCTAAAATGAAAACGACTTCAAAAGTTAAAACGATTGATACTAAGAAAAATCTAACTAATGATAAGAAATGATGCCTCTCAAATCAGAAGAACATTGGTTTTAAAAAAGAATAACCAAAATTTGAATGTATAACCAGCTATAATAGCCGAAATCGTCGTATTAAATGTACATAACATTCTAAAATGAAAACGACTTCGAAAGTTAAAACGATTGATAGGAAGAAAAATCTAACTAATGATAAGAAATGATTCCAAACAAATCAGATAAATATTGGTTTACAAATAAAAAAAAATTAAATGTGAATGTATAACCATCAATAATCGCCAAAATCATCGTCATAAATGTAAACAATATTCCAGATGGAAAACGACTTCTGAAATTAAAACAATTGATACTTAGAAAAATCTAACTAATAAGAAATGATACCGCTCAAATCAGAAGAACATTGGTTTGCAAAAAAAAGAAAAAAAAAAATCTTTTGAAAGTAAAACTTCTTACAATAATCGTTGTAAATGTAAATAACATTCTAAAATGAAAACGACTTTAGAAGTTAAAACGATTGATACTAAGAAAAATCTAACAAATGATAAGAAATGATAGTGCTCAAATTAGAAGAACATTGGTTTTCAAAAAAAAGAAAATCTTTTGAAAGTAAAACTTCTCACAATATTCGTTGTAAATGTAAGCATTCTAAAATGAAAACGACTTCAAAAGTTAAAGCGATTGATACTAAGAAAAATCTAACTAATGATAAGAAATGATACCTCTCAACTCAGAAGAACATTGGTTTGCAAAAAAAAAAAAAAAAAAAAAAAANAAAAAAAAAAAAAAAAAAAAAAAAAAAAAAAAAAAAAAAAAAAAAAAAAATCTTTTGAAAGTAAAACTTCTTACAATCATCGTCGTAAATGTGAACAACATTCTAAAATGAAAACGACTTCAAAAGTTAAAACGAATGATACTAAAAAATATCTAAGAAATGATAAGAAAAGATACCGCTCAAATCAATAGAGCATTGGTTTTTTTAAAACAATAAGTAAATAAAATTAAGTAAAATGTGAATGTATAACATGTAATAATTACCAAAATCATCGTCGTATATGTAAACAATGTTTTGCCATCCAAAGTATCGAATCAAATCCAAGGTGGCTCGTGTAGTGCTTGGACGAATACCAAATCCATATTTGGCCATCAGATCAGGAGATCTCGGATCTTCAGGTGCTTCAGGTAAATCAGGACTAATGAATGGGAATTTGTACTCATTGGAATAGGATGCAAGAATTGGGAATGTTGCCGATGATGTATTAGCAACAATCACTTGTACGCCTTGTGTAAGTAGTTTGCACACTGTGAAAGATAATTTATAAATCATACAGTTTTATGCTTTTTCTCTTTCCTTCTACAAAGGATGTAAACGATTTTTAGAGACACTTCATTGAAAGAAAAATACAGATGCTAATTTATTAAGATATAGAGAAGGTTAATTTCAATTTCTGTTTGAAAGTCTTCCTCATTTTTTTTAAACAATAAAAGCAGTTTTGTTTTTTTGCAAATTTATAATTGATTCATTTAAATATAGTTTAATTGAACTATATTCATTTTAAATATCTTTAATACGATAAACTATTTCATAATATAAAAGACTAATGATATTTTTGATGTAGCTAATAATAATTTCTAGTAATAATAAATAAAAGGGTAATGCAGGAACACAAATATTTTGAATTTAAAACTTAGTTTTAAATTAAAGAGAGAAATATAATAGTAATTGCCAATATAAATTTTTTTTTATTAGGTACGATTGTTTTTTGTCCCTTCGGACGCTTTAAATCTTGACTTACTTCTAAATCCTTTTTTTTTTTAAATTTGAATTTTCTAAACTGATTGATCTTAAGTAGTTTAGATTATATGGAACTGTTTGCAATAGGTTTGCTGTACCATAAGTTGATTCTTTAAATTGTTTTTTCACTTTTATATATGTATATTTCAAAAAGTTTTTTGAGTGCTCTTCACACTATTGTATTGATATATTTTGTCTTGGCTATATTGATACAATATTAGAAAGAACTTCTTTTTGCACATATAATCGTGTGAGCCGATTAAGAAATATCTTTTTTCTCTCAAATTTTTTTTAATAATAATTTTCTTCTTTTTTTATTCTGTAATTTTTTCCGTGTTTTTTGGAAAAAATTACAGAATTTGGAATTTATATGTACATATATAAATGCTCTCTCTTTTTTTATTTTATTTAGGAAGACTACTAAAGTAATTGATGCTGGTGTTATTTGTATTTCTATTATTATGTATTGATAAATAAATGTAAATTGACAATATCATTTAGATTCGCATTTGGAATACAGTTGGAAGTTTTTGTATGCTTTTACATTTTACATATATTGCTATGAATTTTAAGCAATATAATCAGTTTGGGGCAATATATATTTTTCTACAGGTTGACATGTTTTTTTTTTATAGTTAATTTATTATAATTTTTTTGACATATATAATCCGTCGTTGAACAGCCGACCCGATTATGGGGTAACGACTACTAATGTTCAACTCCGTAGCCTTGTATTTTTGAACCAATCCAGAAGACAAGGAAACTTCTGGATCAGTACCCCCAGAGGTTTTGATTTATTATGGGGACATGGAGGACTTTACAGCTAGGCACATGCATCGAGCGCAATTTAGTACACGGGGAGTCTTCGGCAGGCGGGGATCGAACCCAAGAGCTCTTGGACATGAGTCCAGTGCCTTACCAACCAGGTTAACCCAGCCTGGGGTGACATGTTTAGAATATACGGTTCTAATATATTTATTTCCCGATAAATACTTCGGCACTTTTTGAAATTAATACTATAGTCCCAAGTCTGTCACTGGTGGAAAAAAAAACTGTTAGTACCCGCATTCATATGCTCTTACCAGCCCGATGGTAGTACCAGGCATCTTCCTCCGGTACAACTTCGGTGATTGTTTGGAATGCGACATATGGACCAGATTGAAGCTCCTTGTTCAAGACTTTACGAAACAATTCTTCAGTCGTTTCTTCTCCTCTGTTCTGAATAACACCTGAAAAAAAGTTTTCAACAAATTTTGAGGGAATATTTCGTTTTTTGATAAGTATCTTTATCAATTAAATAAAAATTGTAATAAAAAAATCTTATTCACAGGTATGTCAACGGCAAGCTATTTTTCTACCTATGATTAGTGGGAGAAGAAAGAAAACTTAAGAAAACACGAAAAAGAATGAAGGGCATTGTTTACATAAATGTGGGGTACAGTATAGGTTAGCGTAGGGTCAAGTAGAAAGACCAACACTTGGGAGCTATTTTCTTCCGAGAACCATGAATTTGCACTTTATGCGTATTTTCCCGAGAACTATGCTTCGCACTTTAAAGTGCGAAGAAAAATGAGTTTAAGTAACCCTAGAGTTGATGATGAAGTTTTAAAAGCTGAAAAAATGATTTCATAAGATCAAAATGCCAACAATTGATTGTAGGATAACTTTTCCACTTCGTATACCTAAGTTATCCTCTACCTCTCATAATTTGTTTGCATTTTGATGATTTAAAATTTTTATTTCATCGTTTGAAACTTCATCACTTACTCTTGGTTTACCCGTACTTGTGTTTTTTTCACGGTATAACGTCCCCTGAATGCTGAAAATGAGGTTTGGAGTTCCAAACTTGAAAGTGTATAAAAGTGTGTAAAAAAAAAACGTGAGTAAGCCCTCGTGAAATAAAATCTTTTCGTTATTCTAAGATGCTTGCCCAAATCGGAAATACAGCAGTACAGCTGTACTTTAAAGAATGTACAAGGAAGCTTATTTATCAAACAATTGATGGTAAAAATTTTTTCTTTATGCTTAGAGTAACCACGTGCACATTTTGCCTCCACGAAATTTTCGCTTTCATTTTTGTAACATTATGATGAATGGGCAATAAATACACTATAGTGTACTTATTGAACTACTCCCCTCCTATCCAAAGAAACGCTTATTTTCGAAGCATGGCATTTTGCATAGAAATGAATTCTAAAAATAAAAAAAATCAATAAGTTAAATTTTGAAGAATTTTTCGAAAAATAAAACATTTTATTAATTACAATTATGCCATTTACAATTACAATTATGCCATTTTTTAAAAATTTTATTATCCTATCAGTGGTTCTAAAAATGGCTTTTAGCACACACTATTATTCCGTTCACATTCTTCTCTATGGAAAATGAGAGGAAAACTTAATATAATACCACTGCATCTTTCATATATTTCATGGAAAGCGGAATGAAATAAATAAATAATAAAAAAACATTATTTTTTTACTGTCATTATCATCTAAATAAAAGCTGCCCATCTAACAAGCATAAAAATATCATTCTAATAACTTAAAAGAACATCCAATTTAAATATTTTGTTTTTATTTTTCATTATTGTATATGATGAACAAATTTTTCTTTCAGATAATTTCAATAATTTTTCTTTATAAGTGAAATGAATACAATTTATTTTAAACTAAAACTTTTTACTAATTCTTTAATAGTGCTGCCATCTATTGTTTTAATTCCTTATTAACAGTAGCGTGCATCGTCATAAATGCTGTTAAAAATAATTCTGAGTTTACTAATGGAGAATATTTTATGCACATAAATAATTTTCCCATCTTAAATGAAAGGGATACTTCTTGAGTTTTTGTGAAAAGTGGAAAAAAGGATCGTATTTTAAATGAGAATCTTTAATGGTATTTTCAGTGACGCCATCTAGTGTTTACAATAATGAGTTAAAAGGAATAAATAATATTATGATGCGTACGTCTCTAAAAATCATTCGGGAGAGATTTAAGCACAATTCTTACAGCTTTTCATTCAAAAAGTAAAACAATAAATATTCATTAAAAATTTCATTCAAAAAATAAAACAATAAATGATGACTGCTATGGTGTTCTCAGTGTTTAACTTTTCTCCAAAATTTACTTAAAAACATTTGAATTTAGCCATCACTTTATTATTAGTATTCTTAAATGATTTTAAAAACTTTGGTATGTTTTATTAATGAGAGGATGTAAAATTCAATTAATGTAAAAAGAAAAAAAAATCAGATAACTCATTTACATTAAGAAAATTATAAAAATATATATTTCTTATAAAATATTGTATAATTTCAAAATAAAAATACGTAAGTTTTTATTTTAATAATTTTAATAATATAACTAAGTACTGATTTAAAGAATTGAAAGCACAAATTAATTTTTCTCAGACTACTTATAAAAACATCAGAAAATAAAGGCTGCCGTTGAGCAATGCTGACAGTATTGTGGTGACTTTACCTTCATGGGTTCGGCTATTTTGGAAGTGTTTTGTTTTTAAAAAAGATTTGACTCTGTTAAAATAAAAATATAAATAAAATTTTTAAAAAATCATTGACTTTTTTTTTGTACTAGACTTCTGTAATCCTCTGCTCATTACTAGAGTGAGTCTTAACTTTTATTTTTTCTCATTATTTAAAGGTTGACAGAGAAGAGAAAAACTTATTCAAAGCAACTTGTACAATTACAACCATTAAACTTGCATTTACTTTATAAATTTTACAAGTATTTATTTAAAAAAAAAATTAAAAAAAAATTAGCTACCATGTCAAAATTAAAGTTTATTTCTTCATTTTCTTTCAAAATATGCTGGAAGAAATGTATCAGAAAAGAAAGTGAAATCGTGTAGAATTAATGATATAATTTACATATCAAAATGTGAGGAGAAAAACATAAGTAATTAGTTTGATTGGTCAAAAACAAATCTAGTTGGACAAGGATAACATAAAAAGTCATATCAGAGCATTTTCCTTTAATAAATAAATTTAGAATAAAATTTTTTATAGTTGACTTTTTTGATTTAATTTTTCTTAATTTTTGATTTAAAAAAAAACGTACTATACTAAACGTAAACGTATTTCGTTTGCAGATCTACTAAGCTAGTACGATTCTCAGAAAATTTAATAAGTGATGATTTAATATAGAAGTTACGAATTTTTTAAAATTATCTTTCACTTATAAATTAGAAATTCTCTTCTACAGATTTCTTGCTAAGGTATATTTATTTGAAAATATTAAGTACAGCCGTGAATACAAATTTATTTAATTTTTTTAATTTGGCTACCCCTTTTTAAATTTTATATTAATTGTATCAACCTTAGAATTAAATTTGTGTATTTTGAAATGGTTTCCTTAAGCATAAATAGTGGGCAACAGGAAGTTATTTTTCTTTCATACCTAAAACCTTGGTTTATTAAAAAATAAAATAATTTTTAAAAATTTTTGTCGTTTTACTTTAAAAAATAAATTAGTTTACAATGAACGTTCAGATTCGGTGATATTCTCCCCAATGGGATATTCACCCCCCTAATTACAAATCGAAACAAAATTTCAAATAGTAAATAATGTTTAATTTTTTTTTTAAATTCAAAAAAGTAAATTAAATAAAAGTATCTTAAATCAGTTTTTAACTGTTTTCTATTTACTGTTATAAGAATCGATTTTATTATATTGTAATTATGCCTTGAAAAAAAAACTTAGAGATGTAGAACTTATATTGGACTTAGAAACTACATTCACTAGAAAATTAAAATTAATTCCCTTCCTCATATTCAAAAACAGCCGAAATGGATGCAAATTTAAAAATAATAAGTTTTAATAGTAAGGTTAGAAAAAAACACATGGTTTTTAAATTAATAAAGATACTGTTTTCATTGCACAAAACAAATTCATCATGATTTCGTATTTTTTTAAAAAAAAGATTTAAAATTGTTCTCTTTTGAATTAATAAAAAAATAAAATAAAAAAGCATAAAAGGTAATAATTAAATAAATAAATTAGATAATTAAAACACATAAAAAGTAGTTATTGACTTTTTTTAACAACTAAAAAAAAAGTTTAATTTTTAGTTGTTAAAATTTTATTTTCGATTTGAAGGCTAATAAATAAGATAAGAAACAAAGTTATAGGCATGAAATACGAAAAATAAATCAATTTCTATAAACATAAAAAATTTAATGAAAATGATGACCTGTTTATACATTCTTATTAATCAGATAAATCCGATAAATCCGATCAGATAAATCCGATCCGATCAGTACGATAAATTTTTCTCACGTGGTGATCAAAATTTCTTTTATTGTCACCATCATAAAATTAATAAATGTCATAAAGGCATTGTGAACAGACAAAATAATTCTCTATTTCTTATTTAAGAAAGCATTTACCTCTAATATTTATTCTTCTTCCTTTTCAAGTAGTATTCGCAACTGGCATTACGTTTTTGATCTTTATTATTCTAAATTAAAGGCTTGGAATTAAGAGCTGTGTTTATTATAAAATAACCATACCTTAATACGCAACATTCTTGATAGACATATTTAAATCGACATGATAATTAGTAAATAAGTTATATTTATCTTTTTCATAAGCTTCAGGTAAAACTGTGTGTAATAAATACAAATTGTAAAACATTACTTACAACTTATGCAGCGCGATAATTTTTAGAGGAAAAAGTTTATTGATTTTTGTTTTAAATAACCAAAAATTACATGAGAATTTAAAAAAATGAAATTGTAGATGAAGTTGCAATGATAACCAAGAAAAACAAGTAGTTATATATTTTACCTTAATAGAAGTGGGAACTAAATCTGTGAAATCAAATTTGTTTTAAGACTATAAACACTTTGGGAACTTCCTATTGAATACATTTTAATTTAGATGTAAATATCTGTCAAGATACACACACACAAAAAAGCAAATAAATAAATAAATAATAAAAAAAATAGATAAAAAGATATAAAGGGAGATTAATATTCGATAAGTTTTCACAGCAAAGATACGTATTAACATACCGGATTAACATAAATATGTGTATTAACATACAACAAAGATACGTATAGCAATCAAATACGCTTTAACATACTCGTGTGTGGAGATAATCACACTGTAGCAAGTGTAAAAATTGTAGCCTGTGTATCGAGTGTTTCTGTGTTTTTTTGTAGGCGACGATACAGAAATATCCCGTTGATGCTGTATTTTTATGGATATAAAAAAATTTTGAAAATCTTACTTATGCATAGAAATTAATTTTAACAAATACACTTATTAGGAATTTTTTTAGAAACATTACAAAATGTTATTAGACTTTTCACGCAACTAAGATAACTTTTAATGCAAGACAATTATAGTAATTACGTCATTCACTGTTTAGTGTTGAATCATTAATTAAAGCAGAAAAACGAAATGCAACACTTACCAACTTTAAGGGTATCATCATAACAAAACGCGCAGCTCGAAAAAATTATCAAAATCCATAATTTCAAAAGCATTTTTTTAGATCCATTAATTTAACTTGTTTCATTCATTTTGTTTAAGTTCTAAAAGAGATTTCGCTGGTTTTCTATCAAACTCACCATCTGATTGTAGATGATACACGATGTCCATTTATTTTTTTTAATTTTGTTTTTGAAACAGCAATGGTTGATTTTGGACTTCCTGATTAAATCAGCGCGATCGTCTTTCTTATGGTACTTAGGATAAGGTTTACGTAATGCAACACTTTATTTCTTTGTGTCTTTTATTTTTCACACTTTATGATGATGCAAGTTCTTGTTCGCTTTATTTTTTTTATTTTTTATTATTGTAAATTTCCATTAAATGGTTTCAATGTTTTGAAATGAGACGTCAAGTGCATTTTAACATAATCTTAATTTGTTTTATTGCTGAATTTTCGAAAAAGCTTCTCAGATAATAAGGAAGTTGAAAAAAAAAAAAAAAACTGGCAGCTGGACGTGATTATTGAAAAAACAATGTAACAATAGTGACGTCGGTTTTAAAAAAGTTACATTGTTTTTACAACTCCAATTGAAGAAAGAAACATTTGAATGAAGAAGGGTTGTCAATCACACTAACAACTTTTAACGATAGATAAAAATAAAACTATTTTCCGCATTTCCTTTTTTTGCGAAGAATTTAAAAAAAAAAAACTATATTTATGATCTTGTAACTTGCATTAGTTTCATTCAAAAAATCCTCCCTGAAGGAGAATTTGTAATAATGCCTGATCCAGAAATTCTATAATCTTCTGGGTTGGTTTTAAAATTACAAGGCTTCGGTATTGAACTCAGATATTGCTTTAAAACTGATCAGCTGTTGAACGTCAGTGACATAATATGAAATAAATCAAGAATTCATTAATTTACGATCTTGATTTTTATATTTTTCGTTATTTAAATAAGAGCATCAAAATAAAAAAGATATACATTTTTAAAATTAACTTTTCTTTTATTAAATTAACTTTTCAATTAACTTGTCTTGAAAATACATTGGAATTCTAAAGTATTTACGATTTTGTAACTGTAAACGATGTTCAAAAACCAATTAAATGTTGTGAATAAATATTTTAAATTACCCTTACTGCTTAGGTAACTATGGTTGCAACTTTAATCCATCTCATAGTCAAGTATTGGATTATGCGAATCATTAAAAACTAAATTAAATTTTTTTACGAAGGAAAAATATTTACTTCGAAATATTATTTTTTTTAAAAAAAAAACAGCTGCTTTTACAATAATCAAAATTTGCTTGCTATTAAAAATAAAATACCACAGATATAAAATATCTTATTTCAACGTTAATAAATCAATTACTATTGTTTTATAATCTTAGTAACTACATATTCTCCTGGTTTCATCTAGTTTTTATTATATGAGTTTCTTTCTTTAGGGCAAGGATCTTTAATGCATCTAGTTTAAATTTAAGCATTAAATACATTGAAATAATAATAAAAACGATTTTAGAAGTTTTTTAAGTTCTCCCCCCCCCCATTAAATAGAGAAACACCCATACTTCTTGCGAGAAAATTTAGTAAAATAAGCGGTTAAATTGACTTCATTGTCTATTCTTATTAAATTAACTCATTTTATTTTAATTAAATCATTCTTCTATTAGTTAAAGTTGAAATTAATTATTTTTCTTTAGTCTTATTGATTTTGTGTAGGAAAGCAGATTTTCAATTTATGGAATTATTTTGCTTTGATTCTTTTTATTTTTTCTTCTTGCTAGCGTCTGCAAACCGTGACTTTCAAATAAATTCGAACATATTACTCGATGAGATTGATTTAAAAAAATAAATAAATAAATCTTAATTGCAAAGGGAAAAAACAAAACAACAGGCATTAAGCCAAATTTTATTGAAATGTGTTATTTCATTCCAATCGAAACTGTTATTTACGTATATTGTTCAAAATATTCTAAATATATACCATTGTGATTCTAAATATATAAATTAAGAGCTGGAATTATGGAACATCCTGTATTGTATTAATATTAAAATTCAAAGAAGATAAAAAAAATTATTTTTAATTAATAATTTAAGAGCTCAGTTTAAGAACGTGCACAATCAGGGCCCACACTTAGGATTTCAAATTATTAGCCAAATATAAAAAGTATTTGCCGATTTTCAAGTCTTCGCCAAATGCAAATCTTAGCAATTTTTTATAGTATATATTTTCTTCCCATGGAAAAAATCACTCGCCTAAGCACAATTTTATTCGCCAAATTTACAACTTCATCGCATTTGGAGAGGTATCGAATGCTTAGCGCGGGCACTGAAAAAGAAATTTTAATGATCTTCACACTTCACATTCACAGGAGATTCGTATTGATCTTTAATCTAAAGGTAGTTCAATATAACAGTAAAAATTCTATCAATAGTAGTTCTAATATCAAACCAATATTTATGTATTATTTAGTATTTTATAGTTTACAATTTTTATGTTAATCCACAATATCCTAGTAAGTCTCACTTTATCGTCGAAAAAAGTATATTTAAATCTAAAATACTTTTTCATTTTATGTTCTTATTTTTGTTTATTTTTAATATTGCTTTTGTTTTCGTTTGTTTAAGTTCCGTATTAATGTTAGTGGCATATTTTGGAAGTTCTTACTACTTCTTCGCGTAACTCGATTGTTACTAGACTAAAATGTTATTTGAAGATNTTTCCCTGAATTTTTTTTTTCGTAAGCTGTAAAACAAACATAAAATATACTGGGGACATGAAAATGACTGTTTTTGTGAGAATGACCCATCTTCACACTTTACATTCACAGGAGATTCGTATTGATCTTTAATCTAAATGTAATTCAATATAGCAGTAAAAATTCTATCAATAGTGGTTCCAATATAAAACCAATATTTATGTATCATTTATTATTTCATAGTTTACAATTTTATGTTAATCCATAATATCCTAGTAAGTTTCACTTTATCCTCCAAAAAAGTATATTTAAATATAAAATACTTTATCCTTTTATGTTCTTATTTTTATTTATTTCTAACATTGTTTGTGTTTTCGTTTGTTTAAATTCTGTATTAATATTAGTGGTATATTTTGGAAGTTCTTACTACTTATTCGCATAATTCGATAAATTGTTACTAGACTAAAATGTTATTTGAAGATTTTGCAATGGATTGTCCAAAATGTTTAAATTTTATTTGATTTTAGCCTCCAGATTTTAACATTCATTAAAAAATTGTTATGGATTTCGGGCGTCATTCGGTGGGCGATGGGTATATGTTCCCCACAATGTTTAGAAATCTCTATAAGATCTCAATATTTCAGACAAATTAAGAACAGTTTCTCGAATTATTATCGATTTAAATTTCTTCCAGTTAAAAGCAAGAAAGAGAAAAAAATAAATAATGTTTTTTTCAGGCTTTTTAGCGCAGTTAAGAATTTTTTTATTAGTGCAGTGAGAAAAAAGGATGATCAAACTACCAGAATATGGTAAACCCTATCGTGTACCCTATTTCTGTCCCTATGGTATCACCAAAAAGCTCGGTATTTTTACAGAAGCACTTTAATAATACTTTTGGAAAAATTAAGAATAAAATATGGTTTAATAAAAATGATAAAATTTGGTAAAAGTGGTAAAATTCGATAATTTTATCATGATATTTTAGAGCATGACACAAAAATCATTTATTCGGTTAAATTTACTTTTCAGTTTTGTATTTTTAACTATATGTGAGGTAATAAGAGCTATAATTTTGAAAATCAAAATTTCCGGTGAACCGTCACCATAAGAATGGTTTTAATACCTTATCTTTTGGTTTTTATTACCAGATTTTTTTTTCTTCGTGTGTAATTTAGAAAACCGTTGTGACTATGTAATTTAATTCCTCTCCCCCTCAAAAATTAGGTTCTGCGACGCCCATGTCATTGAGAACTGAACAATATTTTGTTTATGAGTAAATAATGAAATTTCACTAAATTTTACAAATGCTTCATTAAATTTCGAAAAGAAAAATTCCAAATTGTATTCTCTTGTGAAGAAAAATTAGTACAATACCTTGGCTTAAACCTCCTTATTTATTTCAATATAAAATCATAAAATGAAAATAAAAGTTCGTTTAAACTTCAGCTGGAACGAAGCGTTGCCTTAACTTATGTGGGGAATTCGACTTGTCAATCGTCTGTTTATTCTCAAATACTTTTTTTTTCTTTCATCCTTGCAGCATAAAATAATAGTACTCAGATATTTCAGCGGTGATAGATTTCTCTTCTGAAAAGCAATAGATCCTACTTGCTATCACAAATGATGTGAAGTTATGTTATTAACAGAAAGTTAAAAAAGCAGAATGTAATTAATGTTCGCGAACTTATTGATGATATTTTTATGAACTAATGAATAAATGGTAAATTTATGGTTGATACTGTATTTTGAATTAGAGAGAGAGAAAGATTGACATTTATTTCATTATTTTTATTTTATATATCAATCAATTTATATCAGAAAATGTTGTTTTTGGAGGGTTTAAAATTAAGTTAAAATTTAAAATGAAATTTAATTTAAAATTAAATAAAAAATAAAATTTAAAATTATACATTAATACAGTATCCCCCGACAAAAAGTTTCGCCGCTAGAAATTTTTTTAGAAGATCTTTTCTTTTTCTTTCTGTAAGGTTAATGTTTTGGGATCTGACATTTGTTCCAATTTTCAATAAAAAAAAAAGCCTGTTTATTGTACCCTAAACAGTATACACTGTAAAAAATTCCACATCAAATTGCGGTGAAAAGTACCGGCACTCAGGATGCCGGTACTTTTTACCGTAAAATCTATTTTTACTAAAACATGTTACGGAACAAAAAATCTGATATGCTGTAATTTTTGCTGGAACAGTTACTATAAAATTACTGAATCTCTCTAATTAAGTAAATATTATTTTACGGTATAATATTTTACTGTAAAAATGGATTTTGCGAAAAGGATCTTACGGATTATGTACCCAATGTGCCGGCCGGTACTTTATACTGCATTTTGATCCGGGATCGTTTAAAATGGAAGGCACGTATTTCCCAATAGGAGGGAGGGCACATGCCCCATTTACCACTTCACTATCTCGGTAGCAGCTGACCTACATTAATGACTTCTATGAAGAATAATACACGCGATTTTTACCTATTTTTAAAATCGTTATAGAACTTATCATATTTAAATTTCATCATATTTTTAAA